CACCCGGGGGGGGGAGCGAGCGAGCGGCTGGGTGGGGCTTAGTTGCCGACTGGGGTTAAACCACGACAAATCCTAATGTATTTATGCATTTTTGCAGGGAGCCTGTCTGATCCATATAGAACAAGCATTCTGTGCTCCTTTGCCATCTCTCTGACCTTTCACTTGTTTAGTCTTACTTGATAAGAAGACATTTGTTTAACGTTCACATCTGCGAATGACACGAAGTGCAGGGGAGCGATGAAAGGCATCTTTTACCCCTGACATACTTAGCAAGAATACTAATTCAAGAATTATCACAGTTGGATGTAGAGGGTCAATTATACAGGTTGAAAAGGCTTGGCTGAGCTTATATTCCCATTTAATTTCCCTTTCTTGAGTACCATCGCTTCACGTTGTTTGTTCCTGTTGTTTTAAACACATCCTTTAAAGCGGTTCCGTTTTGTAGCGCTTGGTATTGTTGGACACCTCATACCCTCGAACCTTCCGATTTGTTTGTTTGGCTTTTTTATACATGCCCATTAAACAGAAGCTATAAAGCAAGATAGGGTGAGTGACTCATTTCACTGAGAGACAGCACATGCATGTTCTCTTCTTTATCACCACGTGACGGACTAAAAAAAATCAGGGTGACAAAAGCAAAAACGCAGAAGCAGAAGACCTAGCTAACACTCATTCTCTCTGGCAGACATGAAAAATAACCAAAATCCTCTCCAGAATCCAAAGCGATTAAATTGGACTAGAATCCTCAAAAATGAAACAAAACCAATGCAAGCTGAAAATTATTTAAAACCCCAAGGACAAAACCCAACAGCCCACAGGATGCCTCCATATAACAATTAAGGAAAGCCTTCAGAAATCCAAAGTGAGGAACTTTGCTGCAGCCTGTAGCACGACCAGCAGCCCCCTTTATTGTTAAACTGGTTGATGAGATCCATTAAGAGATCAGCTTTTCAGTTATTTATAATTTTGTCAAAATATTTGAGCTAAAATTTCCTCTGCTGGAGGTGGAATATTTATAAAATGTTCCAGGTAAAAATAGTCCTGCTATTTTCAGGAATGACTATAAGAAAAGATGATATTTTCTCATGTTCTTTTGGAGAAGTTCTGTGTTGTGTTTTGGGGGGGATACTGTATCTTTGGCAGAGGAGCAGCCGCTTCCAAAGGAGTGGCGTCTGCCACCATTTCATTCATACTTGGCAAGCTTGCGGGCCTTTGAAAGACCGCTGTTCGCCCCGGCTCGGGGGAGTCGGGTGCCTCTCTGAGGATGCCAACTGCAGAAGCCTGCCCTGGGGACACCGGGACAAGGATGAATGGTGCACATGGTGGCCAGAAGTCTCCTCTCTTACCGGGTACGAGCGTCCAGGGAGCACCACCCTTGGTGCTTTTGCTGATGCTTCCCATGTCCTGGGCAGCCGGCAGGTGGAAAGATGTGATTACTGCTCTTTATTCAGCACCTGGGCCACGTTTGTTCCACAGGAGAGACATCAACAAACCGTGGATAGTCCCACTGAGACGGCTGGGGTGCCTGCCCTGTGAGGAGAGGCTGAGGGAGCCGAGTCTGTTGAGCCTGGGGAAGAAGAGGTTGAGGAGGACCTAACTGCTGTCTGCCACTGCCTGAAGGGAGGGTATGGAGGAGATGGAGCCAGACTCTGCTCACAGGGGTGCTGAGAAAGCACAAAAGGCAACAGCCATGACTTGCAACAAGGGAGAT